GAGGCCAGGCCAAAGGGCAGCGCTAATAAATGGTAAAGTGTATCTTCTATAGCAAAGCATAGGAAACGCTGATGCCCCTCGCAGATGAGTATGCGCAGGTAAGCACCCTCAAAGTCTATAGATGCCAGAATATCCCCCTGGTGAAGGGAAGCCACCACCAAGCGAACAGATTCCATTTTGAACCCACACGGAAGCATTTGAGTCCTTGAGGTCCAGGATCAGGTGAACCCCGTCTGTCTAAGGAACTGTAAAAAGATTGGCATAAAACCTCCTGAACCATTCCAACTCGGGCAGCGAAACAATCACCCCCCAAAGGAGCAAATTTTGCGTAGTCCCGTACAGGACCCACAGATGGGTCGGCAAGAGCTGCAGGCTGGAGGGAAAGAACATGGCTGGAGGAAATGCATTAAACTACTTTGTAGCATGAAAGAATGAATTCACGGACCCACTTGGCGGGAATGATGAGAGAAACCAGTGAAGGCAACCCCCCACTCCGGAAATGGGTGGCAGCAACCTCCATGCCAAGGAGAGCTTAACTGTGGGCTTGGGGGGCTTTCAAAGGCCAGGGAAGCTTGGTGCCTCCAACGGGGACCTAAAAGGGTTTTGGAGCCCTCTATCGTGGAAATGGGTTGGAGCAACCTCCATGCCGAGGAGAACTTATCTGCGGGCTTGGGGGGCTTCAAAGGCCAGGGAAGCTTGGTGCCTCACATGGGGACCTAAAAGGGTTTTTGAGCCCTCTATCGTGGAAATGGATGGAAGCAACCTCCATGCCGAGGAGAGCTTATCCGCTGGTTTCAGGGGCTTCTGGAGCCAGGGATACTTAGAACCTCCGGTGGGGACCTAGAAGGGTTTTGGGGTTCTTTGTCACAGACCTAGGGGAATGAAAAATCCACTTATGTACCATAAAGGTCAGTCCCAGCCTCTTACATGGTGCTTTTCCCTTCTTGGACTGAGGCAGAACGGTTCCCTAGCCACTGAAAGGTTCTGGATAATATTGTCCAGCATAGCCCCAAATAGCCAGTCTTCCTGGAAAGACAAGTCCGCCAAAGTCGAGGTCTGGTCAGCCAACCAAGACTTGAGACACAGGATTTGCCACAGCACTGCTACCAAAACGGAAAATTTGGAGTGGTGCTGTGTCAAGGGATATGTCACAAAAGTAATTTAATCCCTAGACCAACTGGTCTACCAGCTCCACATACACTTGAGGCAACTATCTAGAAGTCACAGCTTGTCAGGAAACATCGGCTTATTCAGTTACCACCTGGGATACAAGGGCCAGGACAGGTTGGAGTGTAACCTCTGAGAATGCAAACATGGAGCTGGCCACCACCTCCTCCGCCCTGTGATCCAGGCCACCGCAGACCTTAAAAGGAGGAAGGTTCCTCCCGGGATCATCGAAGCCTTGTTCAGCTAGGATATAGGAAGGCCCACCACAGGAGGAAAGGTGCACTTCTGCACCATAGAAGGTGCCACTTTTTTTCTGCCTAGTGCCCTACTCCTGTAAGTAGGGCTATAAAACCCTATTTGGTCATGGATAAAGATGAGAAGCTGTGTCTGTCAATGAACGTCAAGAGAAAGTTAATTTTGACTCCACTGTATTCCAGCATACGAATATACAGTGGGGAAAATAATTATTTGATCCCCTGCAGATTTTGTACGTTTGCCCACTTACAAAGAAATGAAGGGTCTATAATTTTTATCAAATGTGTTTTAAATGATAGAGACAGAATATTAACCAAAAATCCAGAAAAACATGATACCAATGTTATAAATTGAGTTGCAATTCAGTGAGTAAAATAAGTATTTGATCCCTAAGCAAAACATGACTTAGTACTTGATAGAGTAACCCTTCTTGGCAAGTACAGAGGTAAGATGTTTCTTATAGTTCGTTAACAAGTTTGCACACATTTCATGAGGAATTTTGTGCACTCTTTTTTACAGATCTTCTCGGCTGTCGCTTAGCAAACCCGAAGTTTCAACTCCCTCCATAAAATTTCTATAGGATTAAGTTCTGGAGACTGGCTAGGCCACTCCATGACCTTAATGTGCTTTTTCTTGAACCATTCCTTTGTTGCCTTGGTGGTATGTTTTCGGTCATTGTCATGCTGGAAGAAATATCCACAACCCATCTAGAGTGTTCTAGCTGAGGGAAGAAGGTTCCCATCCAAGAATTTACAATACATGGCCCCGTCAATTGGCCCCTCAATGCAAAGTCAGCTTGTACCTTTAGCAGCAAAACAGCCCCAACGCATAATGTTTCCACTTCCGTGCTTGACTGTAGGCATGGTGTTTTTAGGGTCATAATCAGCATTTTTCTTCCTTAAAACACGGCAAGTTGAGTTAATGCCAAAGAGCTCATTTTTGTTCTTATCTGACCACAGCACTTTCTCCCAATCCTTCTGTGAATCATTTAGATGCTCATTGGCAAACTTCAGATGGGCCTGTACATGTGGCTTCTTGAGGAGGGGGACCTTGGAGTCTCTGCAGGATTTCAATCCATGGTGGCCTATTGTGTTAAAGACTTGTTTGGTGACTGTGGTTCCAACTGCCTTGAGATCATTCACAAGCTCTTTCCATGTAGTTCTGGGTTGATCCCTCACTTGTCTCATGATCATCCTTTCCCCATGAGGCGAAATCTTGAATGGAGCTCCAGACCAAGGGCAATTGATGGTTATTTTGTATTTCTTCCACTTGCGAATAATCGCTCCAACAGTTGTCTCTTTCTCACCAAGCTTCTTGCTGATGGTCTTGTAGCCCATTCCAGCCTTGTGCAGGTCTACAATATTGTCCCTGACGTCCTTTGACAGCTCTTCAGTCTTGCCCATTGTGGTGCCAAAGAGAGATTTTATACACATACAATTTGTCGTTAGGAGCACCTTCTTAAAATTGACAGGACTAATCTGTGTACCACATGAGCACATACCCTGTCTGTGGGAGCCAAAATTATTGTTGGTTGGTAGGGGATCAAATTTTTATTTTGCTCACTGAACTTCAACTCACTTTATAACAACATTTGTATCATGTTTTTTTCTGGATTTTTGGTTGATATTCTGTTTCTAGCATTTAAAATAGACCTATGATAAAAATCATAGAACCTTCATTTCTTTGTAAGTGGGCAAACATGCAAAATCTGCAGGGGATCAAATAATTATTTTCCCCACTGTACAGTTAAGGACATAGGCTGAATATTCATATACCCTGGGTTATAAGACTGGTACCTTCTGGTGAACGGATCCTGGAAAACTGACGACACGCCCCCTGAGTGCCTCTTATAAACCTACCCCACTTGGTGTGTCCTCAATTTTGTAGGAATCAATTCAGAGTAACCCAGAAATACACAGAAGGGTGGCCTGTGGCCTGTATTGTACTTCAACATATCAAATTTATAGGCAAGCCAATATTCCTCTTATCTTAATTGCGCAGTACAGCACACAGGCTAAATATTCAAAGACTCTGGGACATTCCCAAGCAATGAAGGAGAAGGATGGGCAATAACTAGGCAAACAGAACAGTGCCAACAGGCTCAACAACAGCAAGAGTCAACAGACACGACTTCAAAGTGCTGCTGCAAGAACCTTGAGGACAAAAGATGCAACCACAGAAGACTGGATGTCCACCTGGCAGAACATTTAAACAGTATAAAACAGAGGACCAGGGGACTTCCTTACAAAGCTGAGAAACAGAGGCTTGATGTCTAAATGCACAGGAAACACAAAGCAACCTGATGGAGTGAGCATGCAAAAGCGCAGAAGGAGTTTTTTTTCCTTAAGAGTGTAAGCTCTAGTGATTAGTTGTCTTGGCTTGGAAGCAGGATGTCACCTGAGAGGTCCTAAGGATATAGTGAATAAGGAGTCTGTCTTCCAGATAGAAGGTGTTGCATTAAGGTATATTGATGGCTTTGATTACATTCAGGCAGTGAAGAGCAATTTTCTCTGGGAGCAAGGCACAAAGATATAAGGATCATGTCTTCACTGAGGTGAAGGACTGAAACAACCTTAGGAAGAAAAAATGGTCTTGGGAATAAGACTACATGTGGTTTTATTCCACAATCTAGAGGCATACTGATAGTTTAACTGGCTTCTCCATTAACTGGCCATAAATTGCATCTAAAACAAAAACTTTTTTCTCTTTAAAAAAAATATGAAAGGGTTCAATCCTCTGTTAAGTTTTACTGCTGTCTGTGCACACTCTATTCTTGCAGGGGGCCATTTTCACAGTGACTGAAAAACAGTTAAAAACAAAAAAAGCAAACACACACAATTTTGTGTGACAATAACAGCTGTCTAGGAAGGGATTGCCTCTCATATCCTGTTTCTAAAAGGAAAAAAAATGAATGAAAATCCTATAACCAGGGCACAGATTAGGAAAAAAAAACCAATAGTGTATTTAGCCATTCCCTACCTAATCCAAGATACACTCTTTGGTGGATATATAGGTGTTGTACTGTAAGAATAAATGCTTAAAAGAACAAAATAAGGCAAGGCTGGCCACCTTCAGTTGATGGTTCATTCAACATGTATTCTAAAGAGTGTTCGAACTTCCATAACATTCAATTAACTATGCACTCAGTAGTTGTAGATTTCCTTTAACCAAATATTTAAAACAGATTTACAAGAAGTGTAAGTGTGTGTGCGTGTATATATAGATTTGGTTGTCATGACCATCCTTCTCACATGGAGGCATTAACAAATGCTGAGAGCCCATTTACTATACATCTGTGTGGTGTTAATGTGAGTTGCATTAAGACCGTCCATTCATTTGAATGACTTAAACGCACCAAAACACACAAAGAAAAAGCACATGTACTATTTTTGCCAAAGCAGCACACAACCCCCCACAGTAGAGCATTACTGTGGGTTGTGGTGTGCCGCCATAAAGTGGCATTGGGAAGGTGCATTAGAATACCATTCAGAATACATGACATCACAGTGCACCAACGCACATTACCACAATGCAACAGTGTGAAACCAGCCTGACCAAAAACAAACATTAAAGTGTTACTAAACCCAGGATGGTAAAATCAGTCTGTATATGCAGTAAAGCATGCTGGTTATACTCACTGTGGAACTTAAGGGGTTAATCCTCTGCATTGTGTAAAAAGGATGTTTGATCCTGTCTTCTCTGATCCACTCCTCCTTCCACGTTCCCCATTTCATCTCCTGATAAAACACAGCCTCAGGGACAATCTTCACATGCTCAGTTTGGTGTGTACTGCTAGTTAGTTTTTTCCTTTTTTTTTGTGAGTGCATGTGATCAGCACTGGGCCAATCAGCACTGTCCAGACAGAGGGTCAGAGGTTATGCAATCTCATAGGGCAGTGAGAGGAGAATGAAAATTCCTCTGGACATGTGCTCAGCTGGACACTGAAAAAAGTCACAAGACTGCTATATACTGCTGATGAGAAAATATATTTAGCAGTTTATATTTACTAAAATAAATGCATTTCCATGTCCTGTGTACTGTGGAAGACCAGATATAGTGTGTGCAGGGTACTGGGTTTAGTAACACTTTACATTTTAAATGTCTGTTATCTGAAGACTCTTGCCATACAACATGCCTTTAGAACCAAACCAGTAAAAGAAAACATACATTTATGAAATTATATTACTTCGGTGGAAAGCTTGCTACTAAAGAATTTCTGCCCCATTCTGGAGAACAAATGTTCTCTATACAGAAAAACTCAGCATTCAGCAGATATGTAACATTGCTATGTAGGCTTAATTTCACAAACAGCTGCACAGATGTCTTCATATATTTGCTATTCTGTGGATATTTGTATCGATTATGTGCACTGAAAAGCCTGTATTTTATAGCCAATTTCTAAAAAGCCTGGTTATTTATGCCACATAGTTAATATCGCACACCTTTCAGGCAGAAGGAATACTGCTGCCTGGCACCTGAATCTGGCCATCATTAGTTTCAAAAGTATCCCAGATTAAAAAAGGTTTGCAGAGTGGGCTCTGAACTGATTATGCTGGTAAGTGGAAGTTCGAGCTCACATAGCATGAACATCAAATATTAAGTTTCATCAAATGAGATATTTTCAAGTGAGCCATTTTTAACAAATGAAGTTGAAACCACAATTTCTCATTAGTGATCTCCTTCACTATAGCCATGTGATGTGCCTTGTTAGAGAAAGTCTGAGAACTGGCAGCACAGCAAATCATGTTGGTAAGGTAGCTTAATGAGGCTTAAGGATGTGCCAAGTCTTGATGACATGATACATATAAAACCGTTGGAGCACACTGCACTATCAGGTAAGGGGAAAACTTAAGTAAATGACATTCATCGCAATCATGACCCAGCAATGACTATATTAGCTTGTTACATCAGATATCAAATGTACTGGCTTTACTTACAAGGGATAATATAACAATTTATATACATTAAAGTATATCACCCTTAAATTAAAAAAAAAAAAAAAAAACTACTTCGAAAATATGGGGACATGGTATTAAGTCTGCATGTGTCTTTTCTACTTCCCTTTGCAGATCACCAGACCTTTCTTGCATACATTTCCATTTTCCCCAAAGTGGGTCTGAACTCTGGGACCTGTGCCCCAAAAAAGCAAGCAGCAAGCAAAGGACTAGTTGTGAGAATTGCTTGTAGGCTCCCTGCTGATGATCCTTTCTTTATTACAGACCTAAAATGCCATGTTGTGCACTGTGTTTTTGGGTGGAGGGAGCCATCTTGGTAAAAGGAGCACAACTTTTTTATGTCAGAGCTGCTCCTCTGATGACTAGTGATTAATCAAGAAGCAGTGGAAGAAGCACAGGTCCACAGAATGACTGAAACAGAAGTAGGAATATCCTTACACTGCAGATCCTCAGGTACAGTTTTCCAGGAAGAAAACCACGAAGAACATGGTTAATGATATTACCAAACCTTGCTCCAAAATTCCATGAAACAAGCAGTTGCAGACATGCAGCATGCTAACCCTTGCTCTGCCCGAGCAGCTTTTGCATTGTTTGTACACATGGTAAAATGCACGTCTTAGGAGCAAAACCACCCCAAATCAAATATTGTGTTGAATGAAATGGTGTAAGTTGATATTTATATCCCAAAATACTGGTGGCAACTGTTTATTGAACCCATATATTCAGTACAAAATGCAATCAAATTAATTGAAGTGCACATAAATACAACACTCAAATTTTGGGAGGATAAAAACGCTATTTAAAGATGAGGTTGTGTTGCATAAATAGACACCAAACACATAAAGCCTCAAAATTGCTCTATGAAACAGCAAATCACAACCTGCGTTACTATAGTACCCAAATTTGTCAGCAGGCAACATCTTTAAACCATTTGCATTTCATTAATTTGTAGCTAACCATGAATGATGGGCCTTTAATTATTGCTCTTACTCCAGTGTGTGGGGTGATACCTAATATGTACAGTATATTGCGAAACGTATTGGGACGCCTGCATTTACAAGCACATGAACTTTAATGGCATGCCAGTCTTCATCTGTAGAGTTCAATATTGAGTTGGTCCACCCTTTGCTTCTATTACAGCTTCAACTCTTCTGGGAAGTCTGTCCACAAGGTTCAGGAGTGTCTCTATGGGAATGTTTGACCATTCTGCCAGAAGCACATTTGTGAGGTCAGGCAATGATGTCGGACGAGAAGGCCTAGCTTGCAGTTTCCACCCCAATTCATCCCAAAGGTGTTCTATCGGGTTGATGTCAGGACTCTGTGAAGGCCAGTCAAGTTCCTCCATCCCAAACTTTCTCATCCATGTCTTTATGGACCTTGCTTTGCGTTCTGGTGCGCAGTCATATTGGAACAAGAAGGGGCCATCCAAAACTGTTCCCAGAAAGTTGGGAGCATGAAATTGTCAAAAATGTCTTAATATGCCGATTCTTTAAGAATTCCCTTCACTAGACCAGAGGCACCTCCTCTGTACCCCGATCTTGGCACAGGAGCTTTGCCCGCTCAGTGAGTGTCTGAAACACAAGGGTCAAGGCCAAAAAAAGAGGACAAAGTGCCAAGCCAGTGAATATTTCCGTTGTTCTGTTTGCAGGATCTCTAAGGAAAGAGACTTCACCGGTATCTTAACTGCCATGTGCAGATGAGGGGTGGCAGGGTCCACAATAGGAGGAAAGGTCCACTGAAGCAGAAGGGCCTACTCAGAGAGGGAACATACCAGAGGCAAGTCCCTAGTGGAGCATTATAGGCTGTAATTACCAAAGAGGGAGCCACCTACTTGGCAGCCCCAGAAGTATCCCCAGGTCGTCTGGTGTCCCACACAAAGGATTGAAGCTATCAGTGCCAATTCCTGTACTGCAGGAGTAGCATGAGGGTTTGTGGGCCCCGTTTGCTGGGAAAAGGGGGACCCACACAGGCACAGATGTCAGCTCGGAGGCACTGTAGCCATCAGGGGACCAGACCCGATAAGAATTAAACAGATCCCCTGCTCCGAGGACTGTATAACAGCCACAGAGACCACAGGGACCAAGAAGGAGACCAGTCCCTTCCCTAGAGGAAGCAAACAGTGTAACACTGCGACATGGACTGTAGGTGCCTGGTCATATGCGTCCCTGCAAGACGTTTAACTCGCAGGAGCTAAAGCTCTGCACGCGCTTATTATCAAGGCTGGGGTGACTACAAGGATCTAGATTATCCAGCCGGTTGCCCAGCCTGGCTGTTGACTGAAGATCTCTGCAGGAAAAAAAAACCCAGGACCAGAATAAAGAAGGAAAAGGAAAAAGGTTTTGGAACCAAAGGTCCCAGTTGGGAGCTAGGTACTTACTCCTACATTAGGCAGAAAAAACGGAGCTGTTTATATAGCAAAGAGGAAATTTACTACCAGCTACGATGGCTCATAGACGGTGCTGTTTTATTTTTTTTTAATTTCTGCCCCGTGTCCTACTCCTGAAGGTGGCACTATAACCCTATGGTCAAGATTATGGAAGAGCTGTGTATGTCAATGAACATAAAATAAAATATACAGGCTGCCATTGCTGTTCCCTTAAACACAAAAAAAACAATTAATTTAATAATTAATAAAGATTACTTTTGCACTTCTGTCTCCAATACTTTCAGACTTCTTGAACTGGAACAAATATGCTGACCTGGTTTGACTTTACTAGTTACATGTTTATTCTGGACTAGCAACTCACAAAATAATAAAATCAGAGATAGCCTGGAAACTAGCATTTTCCTAGGCAGCAGAGAGAAGCTGAAGGGATTGCTGTCTGCCAAAGACTTCATTGGTGCCAGACCCTGTGGATCCTGAATCAAAATAAACAATCTATAAAAGAGTTTGAAGCCAAATGCTGCTGCATAACAACAAAGCTTTGTTTCCAATTTAGCATTTTGAAAATGGTCATATTTTGTTTGTGTGGGGGAAAAAATTGACATGTGTCCCCAAAACTGAACTGCCCTATCAGGAGAAAATATGATTAACCTGAAAAATAGGGATCACAGGGCTTCTGAATAAAGATCAAATAATGTGTTAACTGCAGTTTTTCAAGAAAGGCCATTGAACAGGACTAAACATAATGGGTTTCTTTACTTTTTCTTCTTCTTTTTTTTTTTTTTACAATGTTATCCTTGTAATTTTTGCATATTATGTTTTGTAAATGTGCATTTATTAGCATTCAAGTTTTATTTCCAGTGCCAAAGAGCAAGGACAGAAAAAGCATCTCCTTCTCTTTTACTGCACACTAAGGAAAATGAGTCGAACCAATTTGACCAGAGGTAAAAGCTGAAATCTAAGAACTTCCTTTGTTACAGTGATACAATATTTGATGTTTGGGTTATAAATAAATATATCTTAGCATCTCTCATATCTGTATGCTGCTTCAGAAAATACTGGCATGTAAATAGTTGCAAATAATGACCTCATTGACAGAAAAGGCTTTTACTTATTTAAACTATATTAAAGCTTCAATAAAAAGAATAGACTTAATTTTTTTTTATTACCTGCATTAGGGTGCTTTTGTAGATAGGCTTTGGGCTTGTGTCGATACCATCATTAAAACATATCTAAACCCAATAACAAAATGTCATATATTGCAGCTAACCAGTCTTTTGATGTGGTTGCTATGTCAGTTTTTGTTATTCTTTAGTTCAGACTATGTACATTAGCAAATAAACTGCTGCGTTTGTTACAGAAAATAATTTATGCAGACCAAGTCAGCTTTGTACAGCAAAGAGAGGCAAAAGATAAAAAGCCATTCATTAGACATGTACCACAAAACTCACCCACCATACTTCTTTCAACTGATGCCAAGACGTTATTTGGTCAAGTAGATTGGATGCTCATGACGTGTTTCAATACCAGGGCATAGGAGAGCATTTCCTCAAAGGGCTGGAGGTCATATACTCCTCCCCAACAGCATTGGTCAGAATAAATTGCTAACTACCTACCCTTTTAACTCCACAATGGAAGAAGGCAAAGATGCCCTCTTTCCCCTCTTATTTTTATATTAACTCGGGAGCATCTCTTGTTTCGAATTAGGAACAACTCCAGTA